GTTAAACTGACGGGGGATATTAGTTTTTGAATGATGAGGTGGCATGAAGAAGTCATTTAACTATCATGTTTGCTGTTCGGAGAAAACACCACTATGTTGGCTTTTCTCTGTACGAAGAGTCAACCTCGGCTCTCGTAGAGAGAACAATTATGTCATTAATCACTAATATATTAAAAAACAGAGTAAAGATATAGGATTCATATGGGACAACTTTTTTACTGCTTCTTGAAACAAATTTTTAGTACAAAAGTTTAAATTTTTGTACTTAAAAATTTCTTTAAGAAGCAGCAAAAAAGCCGTCCCAAAAGAAACCATACTCTAAGAGCAATATAAAACAAATTCAAATATGTATTATTGTATTTGGAGAGAAAAAATGATCAAAGATTTAGGCTTTATTTAGGATGACTTTTTTACTGCTTATTAAAGCAGTATTATAGTAAAAAAAAATTTAACAATAAAAAATAACTTTAATAAGCAGTAAGAAAGTTATACCAACTAAAGCCTAAGTTATAAGGTAAATAGTCCTAACACACTCTTGTATCAATAAGGATGCCATTATAAACAACACACTCACTGATTGGATACCTTTAACATTGTTGACATTCGATTTGGAACGACTTTTTTTATTGATTTTTAGAAAAAAAAAATTAATTTTTGTACTAGAAAGTTGTTTTAAGAAACAAAAAGAGAGTCGTCCAAACAAGACTAAGGCTTGGTTTGGAACACCTTTCTTATTATTTTCTAAAATAACTTTTTAGTACAAAAATTTCTTGAACTAAAATTTTTGTACTAAAAACTACTTTAGAATGCATTAAGGCTTCGTTTGGGATAACTTTCTTATTACTTCTTAAAGCAACTTTTCTGTACTGAAAAGCGATTATAAGAAGCAGTAAGAAAGTCATATCAAACGAAACCTAAAAAGACTGTCCCAAACGAAATCTAAATTTTCAAGTCACTTGTTGACATTCATCATCAATTATCAAACAATCATCAATTGTTGTTGTGATACATACATACATTGCATTCAAAATCTTTAAATTATATACTATTGTCTTTTCTAATTATGAGAATGGTATACTATTATGTTCTTCATAATTAAAGATATTTTTTAAAATAAGCTAGGTTTTTATTTTTTATTTGTGTTATTTTGTAAAAAAAATTATGACTTTTGTGTTATTTATATTGGAATAAATTAAAATATTAAATTAAAATTTTTAATTTTTATAAATTTCTAAGTTCATAAAAATAATAATTCTAATATGATTTGAATATTCATTTTCTAAACGAATAATTTGAACGCGGGAAAAAAATTCAATTTATTTACTTTGATATTTTTCCGGAAATAAACAATTACTCCTCAAAAAGAGCGAAATTACAAAAACACCCACCCCTTCCGTCTTTATCGCTCCCACGGCCTCACGACTCGCACCCCGCCGGTATTTTAATAACCTCGGCGGTTGTTTTTCCTCTCTTCACGTATATTCTGAAGTGCTTCGCTACTCCATACGCCGCTGGTTTTTTCTATCCCTCATCGGCGGTCTCATGGCGGAGGACATACTTCAAAACATCGAAGACGGCGAACTCTGGCTGCCGTCCGACGTCATCCGCGCCGTAGGTGTTTGCCGCCACCACCATCTTTCTGGTAGTCTCGCCGCGATGGACGACCTCGCTCAAAAGCTCGCATGTTTAGATCTCCTCGACCGGCGCCGTGTGATCCCAAGCGTTAAACCTTTCAAAGATTCCACCTTTAATCCGGAGGTACTTCTTCCGACCTCCTCCATCTTTAATCTCTTCAAAATAGTAGCTTTTTTTATTTACCCTTTTTCTTTCTAGGTTCAGTTACAAAGACAGGGAAGACCCTTTTCACCCTTACCACTGGCGAACGGCGGTTACAAAGCTCCGGTGAGGCGAAGGGTAGCAGCCGACGAATGGACCGGCGCGTACTTTCCTGTTTCAAAACCGGTTCATAAATTTTATCCGGCTTTGCCGGTCGATTCCAATGTAAGTACAGTCGCGTTTCATCTTCTCTTCGTCGCCTAGTTGTTCTTTTAAAGCTTTCTATATTTGGCTATTTTTTATACCATAAATGCTCTGTGTTGCTATTTGACTGATTAGTATTTTCGTCCTCTTTTTACAGATAGAAAGGATTCGACTGGCGACAGCTAGGGTTTTGCAGAGGCAACGGCAGCAGCATGGCCATTTGGTGAACCGGTTTATACCGACCCGGTCAGCCTGTTCGGGCCGGGAGACCGGTGGAACTGGCGTCTTCCTCCCCAGAGCTTACAGAGTAGACTCGAAAAAGAAACCTTGTAAGCACTTCTGTAGATTTTTATAAGAAATCGATGTAGCTCTTCACTGTATCTTCCAAAGTTGGCATTTTTCTGAACTTTCTTACGATTTTTAAACACAAGATTATCTTTTTCCAGCGAACGTTCAAGGAACATCTGAGTTTCAGCAACCAATGTGGAGTCCAGCGTCTGGTAACCAGTCGGCGAAGCTTCTATCTTCATCAGAAATAGATTTGCCTCATGATTGGACATACTGAGATCTTCCAGGATTCCGTCATGTTCTTGTAATGTAATCTCTGTTTGAAAATGTTCCAGCTGAACAGGAGGAAGTAAAAAAATGGGGTTTTTGAGCTCTGGAAGAAAGATTTGATCAGATTATATAGTAAAATCAGTAGGGCAATAGTTTTTGCTTTTGAAGGAAGTGGACAGATGGAAGAAACTTGACTTTTGTAATGTGATCCTTCGTCCTATTTTAGTTTCCATTGTGCTCTGTAGTAGTGGATGGTCTCTGAGCTTGGAGTTGTAGAAGTTTAATAATATTTTGAATAATATTATGAATAAGAATGCTGGATTTATTGACTGTTAGTGAATCATTGTCTGTCTCTTTTTTTATTTTTATTTTTTATTTTTTTCATTTATTATTATTATTTTGTCTGTGCTCTTTATCTGCCAACAGTCTTCAACATGATGGTGGATTCTAATAATTTTAGATTTATTTTTGAGATGAGTATGGTTTATAAATAAATTTTAGGGGTTTTTACATATATAACATTTAAAAGTATTCAAAATACATATTTAATATTTATTAATAAACCATCTAAATTTCTTTTCTTTTTATTCTATCATTTCATTAAAGTGATGAGATGTTTGTAATCATTGTGAAAGGATGTCATTGATGGAGAAGATAATTGTTGTTAAGATAATTGTTGTTAGTTATTTTTTATTATGGTTTAAACATAATGTTAGAATTGATTAAAAAAAAGATTTTAGTTGGTATATTAGTAAATATAAAAATTTAGATATTAAGTCTGTATTTTTAATAGGTTTAGGTGTTATATATGTTAGAATTGATATTTATTTTTATAATAAATTTTAAACTAGTTTTTTTTATTTAAAATTTTAAAAGTTTAGTTAAATTGAAAAACTAGTATGGATGTGCTTTTCTTTGATTTCTTTCATATATTATAAAGTCTTGAAATAAAATTCATAAGAAAATTTGATTCATTATTTTGGAGCATTTGAACCATGTTGTTCGTTAAGAGTTGATGAAATTATTTTGTGCGGATACGAATGTCGTCTGGAGATAAATTAGTATGTATTATATCATTTGTTTTTTGTGTACTGCAATTATGTACTTATGTATATTCGGTGATGTGGTGTACTTTTATTTACCTTCTGATGATTCTGTATCTACGCAAAAGCCGACTTTTTGAAGTTCTTGAAAGAAAATAAGTTTCATATTTCGAATAATGATTGGAACCGTTGGATTTCTTATTTTTTGCTTGATTAGGATGCTCTAATCATTATTATTTGGCTATAATTAATTATCATTTGATTATTATGATACTCACAATTTTTGTCGTAAATAGTAGTGACACATGCAATCACCGAAAGCAAGCCACTAGTATTAACTCTGGCTTCTAATATCAGCACCAAGATTTTTGATGAACTTTTTATTCTCTAATTTCTCCTTAAAATAGGATGGCCGAATGAGTAAGAGAGTGTCATAGAGCTCTCTCAATCTAACTTTTATTTTATCCAGTGAACCTACCCTCCTCTACGTTCGGATCTAGGCAAAAAAAGCGCAATATCGAGTACCGAGTTGTACCGAGTTTTTTAAAAAAACTCAGTATTGCGCTGTTTTGGTCTAAAACCGAACGTAGAGGAGCGTACGTTCACTGGATGTAATAAAAGTTCCTCTCAATCTTCATCATCTTCATCACAAAATTCTTTCTATATAATTTATATATGTTATATTATATAAAAATAATATTTGCTCTGCTCCTGAGGCATGGAATAATTTTTAATCAATAATAAGCATTAATAGAATCATTTCAACAGTATTAGAACTTGTGAAATTACTAAATTGAAAATAAATTTTAATATGAACATGGTATCAGTAAAGAATATAAAAATATTTTAAATATGATTTTATCATTTATATATATATATCTTAAAATTTTAAAAAAAAAATATTATGTAATTATTATACAAATAAATAAATATGAAATGAATAAAGACAATTGATCCAAAAAATAAGGTAATTCAAACTCAATTAACTATGAAGTTGATAACGTAATCATTTTCCTCCATTGTTTTCTCTTAAGAATCAAATTTGCAAAAAAAAATCTAATAAAAAGTCATTTCTAATACCTCTATGATTCTTAACGTAGGTTAAATCAAATACAACCGCTCTCCTAATCAAGTCATCGGTTCGGACATGTGACCAAATCATCTAAGGCGACTCTCAATTTTGAACTCTGAGATGGCCGAAAAATAGTAGCTGATGAGCTTAAAAAGTACTCGAGATTGTGCTTCTAAGTGATTGCATCGAGCAAAATGAAGTTGAGAGAGCATGATGATATCATTCAAAAATAGAGGCACATTGATGAAACTTTTTATCATCATCATCATTCATACTCAAACAAAATGAAGCCAAACAAAACATAAACCTTAGAACCCTAAAATTTAAAATTGGCCAAAAGAAACTCCGAATTACAATACAATAACAACAACAACAAGCCTTTCTATCTATTTCCAATCTTCGGAGTTATGATATTTGTAGAATTTTATTTCTAATTTCTTTTTTAAAATTTGCAAATATTAAATTGAATTCTAAGCTTCTAACTAATAGATCAATATGTGCTATCTAATCAACTTTTTAAAAAAAATTATACATTTTTTTAATATATTAATATTATTTTTCGATTATATTAAATTTATATTTTAACATTTAATATTCTCATAATAAAATTAATATATAAAAGAAGGCCTGCCAAAAATTCTGTTCGCCATTAATGCAGCACATAGATGTGGCAGCCTCCCTATTTTCCTCTTGATGTCCTCTGCAGTTTTGCAGCTCACTCGCCGAGGAAATTTAATAAAATAAAATAAAATATGGATCTTCGTACAAGGCAAAATTCTCTGTACTATAGATCGTTTCAAACCGTCAGATCTGCTTTAGGAGCTGTGCGGATAGGTAATGATTCAGTATGATGTTGATGTGCACGAATATTGAAGCATTTAAAGGGATTGATGGTAATTTGGATTTAATTTTGGTGAATCAGCGAGAAATATGGTACCTGTGTTTTATTCTGGAGGAGAGCATGCGACCGTAGGATTTTACTGTTTTTTTCGTGCCGAATTATTTATTATCATGATTAGACTAGTCTGTGTCGTACCAATGGATGGCCTGAAAAAAATAATTATTAATTAAAGGTTTTATCGTATTTTAAGGGATATCAAATAAATTTTATTTCAAAATAATAAAAAGAAAGTTTTAAGATAAAAAATTTATATTGCTCTTAGTTTTTTATTATTTCTTGAGAATATTTGCTTTATTTTGTGGGATTACATATTGATTATTGATTTAGATTATTTATTTTATAAAAATAATTATAAAATTATTATAAAAAATATAATTTAACTCTAATTATAAAAAATAAAACCCAAAAAAAAGAATATTAGCTTTAAATTTAAGAAATTAATTCTTCAATAAAAGTAAAATATAAGCATTATAAAAAAATTATTGAAAATTTGAGTTGAATAAAAAAAATTGATGTTGCTACTTATTAAATTATTTAAATAAAATATTTTAAAATAAATGATAATAGATAACTCTACATGACTTTCTTCCTACTTAAATAACATAATAATATAAAAATTTTATTTAAAAAAAAAACTTTAAAAAACAATAAAAAAGCCCCCTTTATTTCTATGGCATTAGATAATAGATACAAATTAATATTAAAAATATGTTGCATTGATGGATTAAAGAACAGAACTTAGGGCACAAACTACAAACATTAAACGATGAACTTGATTAACTGATGCGCACACACAAATTCAAATGGTATGTAGTTCAACAATTTATTTCATTTCATAACCGCCACTACCAATCAGAATACATCATGTCAGCAATACCGAACTGACATATCAAAACGATAATTTGGATGGCGAATACCGAACTGAACTGACGTATCAAAACAATAATTTGGATGGCGTTCGGCATCAGCAAAGAATAGTTATCACTGATAAAGCAATGGAAACAATAGCAGAAGAATTGTATTAATTTGATTACCCTCTAGTCAAGCAGAAGCTTTACAGTTTCCTAATCATTTTGTTTTAACCCATCAGCCAGCTTCAAAAAGGAGAGAATTCTTGATTAATATTGTTAAAAAACAAAGATATACGTTACAGCCGACATGTTTACTGTAAGGGCTTAATCGCCAACACATCACATAGATGCTCTAAGAAAATACATTAACGTTTGATCTTTTTCTGCCGTTGGAAGGAATCCAAACTGTGAACAGAAATGTACAAGCGAAATTTACTTCCAGTTTAAAGGCAAGAGAGAAGGAAAATTTGATTCAGGTTGCAGCTTCGCAGTATTTGCCAGAGCTTTTACTATTATTAGGAGAAATATGAACTGTGATACGCTTGCAGCACTTCATCAGTTGTGACTAACAAGCCATGGAGAGTTAGACTGGAAAGAGTATTAGCCGTCTGATTCTTGTGTTAAAGAGAGTTCCAGGATCTTTTGACTCACAAATTGACCTTTTACTCTTGGTCGTTGCTCTGCAAGCTTTTGCCTGCTATGGTATCTAACCTGTTGAGATTAAAGAAATGAAGATGGGATGAGAAATGCAGTTTCTTTCACAAGATAGACAAGCTTTAGCTAAAAAAAAAAACAGATAATTTTGTAGTATTCAGAATGACGGAGTAAAGTAGGGAAAAGGCTAATAAATGATGTTGATGGTGATCATGGCAAGGCTCTTGAAGAGAAGCTAATTATGTTTAAGAAAGATAGGAAATGCAGGAAAATCTGAAGTCTGTATGTTAGACTGGTCCAGCCGGTCCCGGTGCCACCGGGACCAGTCTAGGCACGAACGAGGTGGACATTCTCTGCTTCCTGCTACAGCTGCACGAGCAACCAAGCCCGCGGAGCTTTTTAGGAAGGATTTTTTAGGGATTTGAGAGGGAAATTTGAATATAGGGACTGTTTAGGGATTTCCTTTTGATTTGTATACATTAAATATTTTGTTTTCCTAAGGTTAGGGCATCTTGAATTTGACTGAAATTTGAGATCTCTTAATTTAGGTTTTCCTTTAGGCTCTAGCAGCTTCTAGAGATTTGGGAGAGATCGATCCTCCTCTCGAATTGAGGATCAACTGTCTTGTTATTTTCCGTTTCTATGTCGTCAAATAATACAAATTACCTGTTTTTGTGGTTGTGTGTAGATTTTGGTGGATAAAGCTTGCTGTTTTCCAAAGATTTATAGGAAATACTTGAGATCTACAAGTGTTTCCTATCACTGTACCAAGGAAAGAGAAATATGAATTCAGAAGAAAATTTTTGAAGCAGCGTTCAACCAAAGATATTGAAGGACAAGAGATAGCAGTAGATCAAATGAGTTTTGGCATTTGTATCCCAGAAGGAATAAATTAAAGAGATCGCTATTCAAGGAAAGAGAGAATTAGCATTCAAGATAAGCAAAAATGAAAAGACGAAAACTGAAAGAATTGAAGCCCAAGAATTATGGACATTCACTAGAACAATTCAGGATAAGAAGATGCAAACAGGCCTTAAAAATTACTCTTCAATTGAAGAAACTCTATTCAAGTTAGCGACGTAGAAGTAAATTCAGTTGTAATCTTAACATAAATTCAAATTAAAATCCGACAGCTTACCACCCAACTTGATATAAAATATATAATTGCAACACAATAGGTGAACATCTCCTTTACCTTTTTCGCAAAGCATCTATCTTTCCTTTTCAACCGGAATTTAATCAAGGCAGCCTCCCGATGCGAAAGATCAGAATTTGTTCCGTTCATATTACAGTTTTGAATACTGCTTTCATTCCAACCTTCCAGACTCGTACCTGTTGTTGCAGCTGCATTTGTTGTTGCGTCATCACTACCATTGCTCCCATCACCTTTTAGAATATCCTCTTCAACATGGTTGCACGAAAAATCTCTCCGTTCTACACCACCTGTATCATTTACTTGCCCCCTACAAGGGAGAGGATGATTTAAATCGTTGCAGCGAAATTCAATTGATCCTGAATGACTTGCAAAATTTTCATCCAGTTGCTTAGAGCAATCGGAATAAATTTTTGATGGCCCATTCTCTGCCACAGCCAAATTCTGCACTGTCAAGGCGCTATCCTGATAGATTATTGGTCGCAAAACCTCCCCATACCCCGTACAGAAGCTTGTGTAAGGAACTGCTCCAACAGGAATAGGCAATGGCAGAAAACCTAGTTGAGAATGGAGAGGAATATCATTTCTGCTAGAATAGGCATTCTGTGGCTGTACATCTGAAGAAAAATCACCAACTTCCTCCATGTTTACATCGGAAGATATCTGACATTGTTCTACACCTTCAATGGTAGATGCAGGAAGTGAGCACTTCACAGTATCAGTGCCACAACAACTCAAATGTGACTGTGGTTGATCACCATATTCATATTCTTTGTTTCTGTTGCATGTGGATGATGAATTTGACTTGCCTGCACTATTGGGAGAACTGCCACCATATCTGAGAAAAAAAAATTGCAAATTTAATAACAAGTTCAGAAATTTGAGGTACCACTGATAATGGAGAAGAGTAGGAACACGCAGAACATTGTAGCAAGATTAGGCTGTAAGATAATTGGCACTTCATGAACAACTCAACTCTCAGTCATAAGGCTTATTTATGTACATTTATTTTTTAAACTAAGTATATCAATCAACAAGCATAAACATAGACCTAGTCGTTTATCTACATTCGTGAATATGCACTTTTATCATTTTAACAAGTAGCACACTAAGAACTTGATAAATTGCTCATAAAAATGATGAATTAGTTATTTTTTGATAATTTTATAAAATATTTTATATTTTATACCAGGGGTGTAAGTGAGCCACACCGTCTTGTGAACCAGTGCTAACAATCTCACAAGTTGAGCTTATCAAGACACAAATTCGAGTTCGAGATCATATATTATATGAGCTTGAGCACTAGCTTGGCCAGATTCGGCTCATTGTCTTGTTGAGCTGGCTTGATTAATATTAATTAACACGTTAACTTTTATATTAGCCTACTAATTTATTTTTTGTCCAAATTCAAAAATAAGAAATTGAGCTTCAAAAAGAAGTCAATCTCAAGCTTTATTATTGAACTGGAGCTTTTGTGTAGCTGAGCCTCATATTTTTCACTTGAGCCAAGATCGAGCTCAACAAATGAGCCAGAGTTCTAGCTCAAGTTCCAACTCAATATAAATTAAAGGAGCTTGGCTCGATTAAACAAGAACTTGATTGGACTCATTTACAAACCTATTTTATAGGCCTTAAAACTTATTTATATGCTAAACATTTAAAAAATGGAATGGGTTTCAGGTCTATTATAGCATAGATTATGCTCATAGTCATTATAAACAAATTAGTTTACGGAATTCAAACAAACATAGAGCATCAGCTTAGATAATTACCTCGAGAAGGCAGATGCATTTGAATGATTTAATATGTTCTTCTGCTTAAAATCATGTTGTACACCTCCATTTAATTGTGTCATTAAAGAAAGCTCCCATAGAGGTAGGGTGCTAGGACTGAATATATGCTTCATTTGAGAAGATCTAGCAGCCTCAACTGATACATTTTCATCCATAACAGCAGTTTTCATGGGATTATGAGAGCATTGTCCATTTGACAATGACTTCATAAGTCCATCTGAACATTGTGCAGGCTCCTCCTGAGAATTTATTTGATTATGTAAGTTAGGCTTCTCATTGCCACTCTTTGCACATCTTAATGATACCAAATCATCCTGCACATGAGAAGTATGCCCACTGTTTTCTACTAAAAGAGCCATTTTACTAGGTTGAACTGCAACATCGCCAATTATAAAAGTTTTATCTGCAATAACAAAAGTAAATTGCACCTTTTTACATGCAGACAGGAAACGTAAAGTTCAGATAACAGATATGAAGCTCTTCATATGAGAAAAAACCTCGCAAAGCCCAATTATCATCCAGAGCTGATGAATCAACCATTGTATTCATGTCGTTTCGAGGATGCTCTGGATGTGCTTCAGCTTCCCTAGGGGACTGACCATGTTTAGCCAGAACAGTTTCAGCCTGGTTTTGAGAAATCCCAACTTTAGTGCCCAGTTTGCAACCCAAAATCTGATCAAGCATCCATCAGAAAAATGTCAACATCCAAAAGAAAAGCGGGTAAAACAGATTTAAATAAGCTAAAATAGCATCAAACGAAATACAAATTAATCCTTTTACTCTATCAAGTATCTAAAGTAAAATAGTTGGTTTGGCCAGACTTTGGGGAACTTTTTTATTTTAATTTGCAATGCAGTAATTACAAGAATTTCACATCTAGTTTGCAGGTATAGAACACCATTTTCATTAATGGGCATAATAGTAGAACAGAAGAGAGTTGACTAGAAAAAAATGTTATATCAGCAAAGATGAAAAAAAATCCTGCTCAGGAGAACAACACCAACACCAACACCCCTTTTGCATACATAAACTAATAATACATTTGATGAAGTGAATAGACTACTTGGACATCCCAGAAATCTGTTTATTTTTATCTTCAATCCAAAATCTTTAAAGTTTAGCATTCTCTCCGAATCACGCAAAGTTGAAAATCACTCAAAGTTAACCAAATTTAAGCACCTGATCAGCATCACTTCCTTTGTCACTGGTTTCACCAGTCTGGGACCAGTCACCAGCATTTGAACTAATATGATTGCTGGCAGCATTTTGTTCTGAAGCACAAGCATAGCTGCTTGACTGCACCATTATTACAGATATTGAAGTTAGTTATTTCAAATTGAACCAAAATGGTCAGTGAAGAGATATAAACTGAAGACATACACAGTGCCTCCTCCACACATGCTGCCATAAATTCCTCAATTCATTTTTCCTCAATGGCTTTACAAGAAAATCTGCAGCTCCCTTTAGCATGCATTTATGTACTATTCCAACTGAGTCATGAGAAGACATCACTGCAATACAGAATATAGCCAAGCAAACAGCTTTAGATAGAAAATAACTAAGAGAAATCTCTGGATACAGAAATCTCATAAAGTACTGAACTTGATTTGTGCACTAAATTACACAAATATTTGAACTTTAAAAGCAGTGCGGAAAGTACAACACTAGAAAAGTAAAAAAAAACATGCGGAAATATGAATTCAATGAACTAAGGCGTTATTTTCTGGATTCAAGTATGATTGGTCATTAATTCCTTAATCCGTCCAAAAAGCAAAACCTCTGTCACAATTTAAGGAACTATACGAATGATTAATCCATATAACATTTGCAAAATAATAATTTGTTCACTAATATCATAATTATTAACATTTAAATGACTAATAATTAATGACATTATCATGAATTTTAATGATGACAGATGACCTAATTGCTAAACAACTCTACATGCTGATCAGTATCCCAATATCAGTAAATTTGTTCACATAAACATTGCCTAATTAATATTTAATTGCAAAATAGAGCCTAATTTCATACTAATGAGACTATAATAACTTCTAATTTGTAATCCCTATTCCTTTAGCTCCACGCAGACATGTTTTGAGAGATTAGCATAAGTTCACATGCTCGCAACAGAACAGTTTCCCGAATTTAAAGCAAAGCTAGAACAGAACAGTGGATTGAATACACATCTACTCAGATTTAACGCTTATTCTGGCAATTAAATGAAAATAAAGACGAACAAAAATATATATATAACAAAGGAACAAAGTAAATCCATCATTCTCAAAGTTTAATGATTCGGGAATATACTGATCACAGGAATGTTCTTGCACCCCTCTGTTCCCACAATCTTTCCAAGAAGACCGATTCCAGAAAGCGAGGGCATCTCAAACTCCGTAAGCACGAGATCGAAGCTGAAACTCTTCTCCTTCATCACCTCCCACGCCTTCAGCCCATCAGCAACCGCCGCAACTGTCAAAACCAGAAACTCAGAAACTGAAATCCCAGCTCAAACCCTATCAAACTCTGAAACCCCCGAATAAAAATAGGACCAGAGTAGCGTTACCTTGATAACTACATTTCCTGAGAAGGGCGGCAACGATGTGCCGCGTGGAGTCGTCATGCTCCACGAGCAGCACCCGGAGGGATCTCCTCGGCAGAAACCGATCCCATCGTATCCTCTTCAGCTGCTCCCCGCCGCCACTCCCTCCGCCATCAGCTCTAACGGCGGCCATCGATCCGCCCTCCGGCACGGCGTCTGTCTCTTCCCACGCCACGTTGTCCATCGCATCGACGAGCGGAAGGAGGAAGAAGAAATTGAAGAGAACGAGAGTCGAAGAAAGAGAGGAGGAAGAAGAAGAAGAAGAAGAGGGGGTGATCCGTTGCCACGACTACTTGAGGAAGAAATATCTTGAGCGGGTGCCACGTCAGCACGAGGGTGGAGAGTAATCAAATCATGGCGGAAAAACTAAAACGTGGTGGCCTACTTGGGCTCATCGCCAGCCAAAACAGGGGATTGGGGCTTCGTGCCGCGGCTCCCAGAAGAATTTCGTTAGCTAATTATTTTATGCGGATGTCGAATACTGTTTAAAGACCCATCAGAATATGTCACATCACCCCGTCTCGATACTGCTTAGTACCCGCTCAATACTATTGATGTGGCGCGGTTGGTCTTTGGACGATAAACTGCGTTCGTTGTCTACACAGAATAATTTCTCCCTCAGTGGAGCTTTTCTCTTGATTATAAAAATTTAATTATTGTCATAAAAAAATTTAAAAGTTTGCAAGAAAATAATTATAAGAAAGACAAATCATAATAAAAAAAGCTGACCTTTCCCGCAATTTGTCCAGCGAGTTGTGTGGTCCTGCACTGGACACCTGGAAAGGACCCTTGTCGGGACTCTATAAGTTCTGCTCAAAATGCGGGTGCAGAAGTGGGTGCGATTTGGATAATTGGATTATGTGTCCCATTCTCTTTGTTGAAAAATACTGTTCCAACGAATGGTGTCCTCACAGATATTTTTGTGGATTAGAAAGCTCCTAATCGATTTGTAATAATCTAACAAAATAATAATTAATTAATAATAATATCTTCATTGAATCACCCTTTGAAAGTGGGCTTTAATTTGTTTTATTTTGAGGGCTAAAAGGGTTCCTTTAATTTAAATTTTTAAATTGTTAATCATAATTAAATATTAATTAATCAATGAGATCATCATTATAGTCATATAATTAAAGTTTTTTTCAACAAAAAATTATGAATCAAAATTCATAAAATCAATTTTAAATAATTAGAATAAGATAACAACAACGATGGGCGGATCTCCACTTATGTGAGGGTGGGCAAATGCCTGGCCTTAAAAAATAATAATATATATAAGAGGAATAATGTTAGAATTCTGCCCCCCACCCCCAAAATTATTTTTTTGTCTTAATATGACCCATCTCGCATTATTTGCGCATCCATCTGAAGTTCCGAATATTTCCTCTTTGTGAATAAATGATAAAAATTTTCTCTTATAAATTTAATAGCATTATATTGGTTAAAATTTTAACTAATATTTATTTTATTATCATTACTATTTTATGTTATTATTATTATTATATTTTATTTTTATTGTTGTTGTCGTCGTCTAATTAGTTAAAATTTTGCTCACCATGAAAAAAAGAAGCTAGATACGCCCTTGATGTCAGCAACAATAAAAAGCATTTTATTCTTATTTTTTATTGTTTCATATTAAGAGTCAAATTTTCATTTAAATATAATAAAAATTATTTTTTTAATATCCTCTAATGAAGTATTTTTAGTTCTACCTCTACCTTTTTTTTACATATATTAAATCTAATAGATTTGCTCTTCCGAAAGGGTCATCAGAAGGCCAACGTTTATAAGATCAAATAAATAAAAAAAACTCTCTCTAATATTATGGTATGACTCTTTCTAATCTTATCTTTTACAATATAATTGGAATAAGATTAATGATAATAAAATTATTACTACAAATTTGAAAAATATGATGGATTTGAATTAGGCACGAATATTTAAAACTTGGTTCGGTTGATGCTTTATTCATTCAAACCTAATATGTTGGTCTCTTACTTGGGAAAGGAGAAATGCATTGATGAGGTTGATAATTTGTGAATGAAAGGTAAGTTTGGGAGCTATTGATGCATAAATACGAATATGATGATGTGGATACGGCATGATACAAATATATGATATGTCAATTATTGAAAATATAGAACACGTATTTGAGTTTGACACGATATTGTAATTGTTATATTTTTAAAATGGTGTATAAAAGTTGAATAAATACAATGTTAAAAATAATTTAGAAATAATTAACCATTTGAATTTGTGCTAAATAATGATTAATATTAAGATGTCGAAAGTCGGGTGTTGATGTTGTGTATCAGGTATCGGATGATAATGCTGTCGAGAGTCGAACATCAATGTTGTGCAGTAAATACCAAGCGTCGATGTTAATAGGGCATCTGTCATCGATGTTGAGAGGGTGTTGGTCGTTGATATTAAGACAAAGTCGCACAAAGATGAGCTATTGTGAGTGTAGAAATTGCTAGCATCAAGCATCAATGTCAAGACAACATCATACTTTTATGTTGAAATGGTTTTGAAATGTTGATGTTATAACAAAGTCGGATGTCGATATTGAGATGACATTGAGCATTGTTATGAAACCAAAGTCGTGGCTCACCAAAGAGAAATGAAAATGAGAATATTCAATGAATGAGATATTAAGTGTGGGCAATTGATTTGGTGTTGTGGATTGGAAATAAGAAATATAGTTTTTATATTTAAAATAAATAAAAAATTCAAAATACAAGAAATTATATTAAAAAAAATCGTAAAATATTTAAGACATGCGTCCAATTTGTATTTAATATCTTTTAATTTTAAATCCGACACGTTTTTGTCGAGTCAGAGGCATGTCGGACACGTATTGTGTCTAATACGCATCAGATACTGCACGCCTCTTCGAAAAAAAGTGTTAGTACATCATAGTCGGGAGCTAGCTCATAGCTCATTGAGTAAGACACGATGAAACTAGTAGCATGTATGAGGACAGGTTAGTTCGTGAAGGAGCTTGCTAGGAGAAGACAACGATGGGACTAGCAACATGAGAAGATGAAGAAGAGTCCGCAATGGAACTCACAGGGGAATGACAAGGATAAGCCAAGTGAAGAAGAATACGAGTTCACGTTAGAGCTTATTGCGAAAAACATCAACGAAATGAACTCTTCGTAAAGCCGACAAGGACTAAAACTCACCGGAATAAGTAATCAACATGATTGATGACATGCGAAAGAGAAGAGAAGTTTATGATGCACACAACCCATTAAGGCCTATAAAAAATTTAAGGATGAGAGGTAGAAAATCAAAAATTTTCTTTGAAAAAACAAAGGTTGGTGGTGGATGGATGACGCTCAAGAGCACAAAGCATGTTGTGTGGCTATAGATTAAAGCAACAATTTTGAATTGTTTCCTGCATTTGGTAAAACAGCAAGCATTGGCCCAAAGGAATCACAGCCTTACATTTCTCTTCTAACAAATCTGAAAGCTCAGCATATAAATCTCTGCTCAAAAAGCTCCCTATGAGTGAACGTAAAATATCGACACTCAAGATATTTTTAGTGTCGTCTCTTTCATTTCAAATTATTATAGAAAAAATAATTTTTTTAAATTATTATAGAAAGTAATTTTTTAATATAAAATTTTTTTAAAAGAAGTGGAGAAATAGAAATTGTGGCTGAGGTCTGAAAAATAAAGCAATAAGAAAGCTGTCTCAAACGAAGTCATAATCTTATATTGTATAAATATAATAGTTTTTTTAATAAGTTTAAATTTTGAGTTAAAAATAAAGATGCTTCTTAAAGTAACTTTTTAGTTCAAAAATTTCAATTTTGTACTAAAAAGTTGTTTCAAGAAGCATAAAGAAAGCCGTCCCAAACGTATAAAAATTAAAATTTTAGTACTAGAAAGCTTCTTTAAGAAATAATAAAAAAGTCGTTCAAAATGAAGCCTAAACTAAAATCATTTTATATCATAATTATAATATGAGAAATTATTTTGAATCAATTTTAAATAGTCGGAGGACTAACTGACTAAATAGGAGCATTGAAATTAGGGTTGCAAACGAAGCGAGCCGAGCCAAGTATGTGAGTGTTCATGTTTGAGCTCGTTTATCATTAGCTTGTTCAAGTTCAGTTCGTGTTTGATTCGAGCTTTATTGTTTATGTTCATATTTGGTTCGTTTAATTTAAGGGTGTTCATGTTTGGCTCATGTTCAGTTCATGTTCGATTCATTTAATGCTTATCGAGCTTTAAACAAACAAGCCTTAACGAGTTATGTTCGTGAACATATTTAACAAACATTAAATTTGTTCATAAACATCTTAAACAAACAATCTAGCAAGTATGAACAAATGTGAAATGTCTTTTGTTGCATTTCTCTCCATTCGAGCTTTTATCGAGCTTAATGTCGAGCTTGTTCACGAACTTCAAATGATGTTGTTCGTAAACATAAATGAATCGAACACATTAGTGTTCAAGTTTGTTTATTAAAGAATCAAGTATTTAAAATGTTGTTCAAATTTGTTTGTTTAGTTAGTAAAACGATCACAAACGAGCTTTAATCGAACGAGCATCGAGCGCAACTAAATAGTTTGAATAGAAATTGTGGCTGAGGTCTGAAAAATAAAGCAATAAGAAAGCTGTCTCAAACGAAGTCATAATCTTATATTGTATAAATATAATAGTTTTTTTAATAAGTTTAAATTTTGAGTTAAAAATAAAGATGCTTCTTAAAGTAACTTTTTAGTTCAAAAATTTCAATTTTGTACTAAAAAGTTGTTTCAAGAAGCATAAAGAAAGCCGTCCCAAACGTATAAAAATTAAAATTTTAGTACTAGAAAGCTTCTTTAAGAAATAATAAAAAAGTCGTTCAAAATGAAGCCTAAACTAAAATCATTTTATATCATAATTATAATATGAGAAATTATTTTGAATAAATTTTAAATAGTCGGAGGACTAACTGACTAAATAGGAGCATTGAAATTAGGGTTGCAAACGAAGCGAGCCGAGTCAAGTATGTGAGTGTTCATGTTTGAGCTCGTTTATCATTAGCTTGTTCAAGTTCAGTTCGTGTTTGATTCGAGCTTTATTGTTTATGTTCATATTTGGTTCGTTTAATTTAAGGGTGTTCATGTTTGGCTCATGTTCAGTTCATGTTCGATTCATTTAATGCTTATCGAGCTTTAAACAAACAAGCCTTAACGAGTTATGTTCGTGAACATATTTAACAAACATTAAATTTGTTCATAAACATCTTAAACAAACAATCTAGCAAGTATGAACAAA